TTACTAATTCTTTTAGTCAAGTCATACAAACAATATAAAAAGGTTTAATGAAAGAAAAGGATAGTACGACAGGTAGAATATTATCAAGGAAATAGAAAAGTTAAAACTAGACAAAAAAAAGATCCTTAGCTTTAAAAATTGGAAAGATCTGTGGCAAGATCAATTGATAACTTATGTTCAAGGTGCTTAAATGCCATCCTTTTCAACAGTTTAGACATTCTTTCCATAACTTCAAATAAACTGCTAATCTGTTAAGCAAATCCTTCCTTTCATTTAGATAATATAAAAATAATTAATCCTCTTGACTGGGAAGGATAATATATCAACTCAAAGGTGGGAGAATCCTTACCCAAACTGCAGGTATTTCTGGTTTCTGCTCACAGAAGAGTCTTAATCTTAAGAGAGATATACCCAAACTTCCAAAAAAATGTACAAAATTGTGATTTGAGTAAGAAAAATACAGAACATGTGAAAGGGGGATTGATGAGGAAGGTAGAAAAACAGCACTTAGAGGAATGGAAAACAATATAGTATGGTAAAATCACTCTTGCCTGTTTGTGGGGTTTTTTTTTAGACTACATAATAACCTCAGATAAAGAGAATCAAGAAGAGCATTTTAAATCCATTGTACCTCAAATCATAACACTAGAGCCAATCATTTATTGGTGCTTCCCCAGAATACTTCCTTTAAATGTCCTAGTGATCCTGGCATAAATAGAAAATCTTGGATGAGAAGGCTCTTCAGGTCAAAGGCCCTTTTAGGCTAAGAAAGAAGCATTACACTTTTGTGAAAAAACTCCCAATGATCTTAAATCATTTCAGCCTGGCCAAACCAGGGTTCAAGATGAGAGTTGTCAAAAAATAAAAATAATACCCTCTCATTTCAGAGACAGGAATTTTGGTTGAGCTGTGAGCTTTTAGGAAGCCAGGTTGGACACCCTTCTATATATGCAAATGGCTGACACAGACATTTCTTATTCTGTTAACAATACAGAGAAAAACTATTATTTGGTATATAATTTACCAGCAATTAACAATTCAATGGTTTTTTAGTAACTCTCACTTTCCATATACTCATTTCCTTTCCCTTGTTATTCCCTTCCAACGACTTCAAACAGCCCAAGAATCTTTGATAAAGAAAAGGGAAAATATCTGAAGTGATGGTAGTTATGGGGGGGGGGGTACTTACCGTTTGGCAGAATATTTCATCAGAGGCAAACAGTTACCAAAGTTAACTTTAAACTAGTACCCACAGTTCCTAACCTAGTACCCTACCATCTCAACAAAACTTCAAATATGTTTTTACAAATTTCATTCAATTTTATGTAACACGTTACAATATACAAACTCACTTTTTCACCACATAGATTTTGAAAAAGAATCTTGAAAAATCTCTTACTAACCTAATGGTACACAACAGCTATTGTTTAAAGTGATTTTTCCTTCTTTTAAAAGTACATTGTACACTTTACAATACACTTTAAAAGAATATTTTAAATCACAGTGCCTTTGGCCAAAATAACTTAAAGTGTCTCGCACATCTCATGCATCTGCCACAATGCATTTCTTTTTTTTTTTTTTTGTGAGGAAGATCGGCCCTGAGCTAACATCTGTCAATCCTCCTCTTTTTGCTGAGGAAGACTGGCCCTGGGCTAACATCCATGCCCATCTTCCTCCACTTTATATGGGACACTGCCACAGCATGGCTTGACAAGTGGTGCGTCGGTGCGCACCCGGGATCTGAACCGGCGAACCCCAGGCCACCGCAGCAGAGCGCGTGCACTTAACCGCTTGCGCCACCGGGCCGGCCCCCGCAATGCATTTTTATACTCTTATCTTCATATGGGAACAAAATCTGCAAATGCTTCTTTAAAGTTCAATGATCTTTTTTCTTTTGAATTTCAAAAAGAACACCAAATGCTGCTTCAGCGAGCAGGATGTTATTAGTAATTTCTTTCAAATGATGTTAGGGAAATTAGCAGTGTGGAGGTAAAGACAAAGAGGAAAGAAGGAGAGAGTATTTTCTTTACACACTTGAAAATATCCTCAATATTTTTAAAAGCAAAAATGGCAAAAGTAAAGAGTACTCTTTACTCTTGTGTAAAGAGTACTCTTTACTCTTGTGTAAAGAGTAAATGGACATATATCACCAGAGAGACAATAAATAATTATAACCATAGAAAATTTAACTGCAACAAGTCCAAAGAAAAACCAAAGACCACGGCTAAACTGTCTTCACTGGTAATTGTTTAAACTTTTATATTTAGTCAGGGACATGAGACAGTCTTCTCAGCATTTGATGTGAGCTGCCTGCCTTACTCAAAGTTGCCTGGCCTTCTCCCAAAGCCACACTACTGAATTATAAGGGGGAGCTAGTTCTACGTGGAGACAGTCCTACAATCTAATGTACATTTTGTCTCATGGCTTCTTTCATCTTTACTATAAAGTTAAACTCTCATCAGGGAGGAAGCATTTCTTCATATCTATAATCGTAGATATGCAGAGTAAGAAAAGCAGAACATATTCATTTAACACGGCAGTGATACTGTTAAAAGTTGGATAAAAATCAAACTTACCAATACTTTTTCCCTTTCAAAGACCTAAAGTATTAGCCAAATTCCAAACTTTTAACAGATACCAAATGCCAGCTTTCCCAACCCTCCCAACTCCTTCCCACCTATTCCCTAGTTTAGGCATAAATGTAAAGGTCTAAAGCTTACACTATGATTATTTCCTTGCCCAAATAGCATAATGAAAACAAGATTAAAATTGATAAAGATTCTCTCCTTGATCACACTCTAGCCAGGTTCTTCTGAGCCCTCTTCTCAAGTAGGCCTAAACTTTGGTCTATAAAAACCAGACTCAACACAAATGATTTCGTCCACCCCATTCCCCCAACATTAAAAGATTTAAACAAACACTAACACAGTTTCAAGACCCCATCCCTAGGATAACCCTAGCCCCTCTTAAAGTGCCTGCCTGAGAAAGCTCAAAGCTGCGGTGATATTGTGATTTACAAGAAATACATATATATTTGGTCATTCAGATAACTGAAATATACTTCTCAGATATATTTGGTCTTCATCACAGTTTCTGACTCACAGCTCCCAAACTCCTTGGAATTTACCCCCACCCAAAGAGGACCAGCCACGTGATCCGAGGATTGTAACTTTCAGTCCCACCCCCCCGATTTTGGGAGGGGGCTTGAGGTTGAGTCAACTGCCAATGGCCAATGACTTAGTCAATCATGACTGCCTAATGAAGCCTCCATAAAAACCCAAAAGGACAGCTCGTCGGCCCTTTTTCAGAGAGCTTCCATGTTGGGGAACCAGAACGCTTCCACTTGCCACCTTGCTGGGTCGCATGCTCCATAAAGACAGAAGCTCCTTTGTTAAGGACCTCACCCCATCTATCTCTTCATCTGGCTGTTGATTTGTATCCTTTAATACCCTTTGTAATAAATCAGTAATCTAGTGAGTGAAGTGGGTTTTCTTGAGTTCTGTGAGCCGTTCTAACAAATTATCGAACCCAAGGAGGGGGTCGCGGGAACCTCTGATTTACAGCCAACGTTGGTCAGAAGCACAGATAACAACTTTGGCTTGTGACTGGCGTCTGAAGTAGACAGCGGTCTTGTTGGACTGAGCCCTTTACCTGTGGAATCTCATTCTATTTCTAGGGAGACAGTGTCAGAAGTGAATTGAATTACAGACACCCTGCTGGCGTCTGAGAACTGCTTGTTGGTATGTGGAAGCTGGCATGCTGACACACACGTTGGAATTGGGTCCAGGAACCCCTATGCAGCTGTCAAAAGATTTTAAGGTTTGTTTTAGCCAACACCTGACTACAGGCCCCTGACGACCCTACCCTAGAGCATTTACTGAAAAGAGTTTACAACTCTGCATCCTTCCCCTGTCCCTTTGAGATGTATATGGATCTCCTACAACTCATGAGTGTCTTTCTTAAGGAATGAAAACCATTCCTTTAAAACGTAATCATCAGGAAAGATAGGGCCTCAGTCTCTCAGTCTCTGTAGCAGGATAGAATCCTAACTTCATAACTGTCAGCAAGCAGACACAGCCGGCCTAATCATCATTTACACTGACCAATTCTTTGTCATTTTCACTTCCCTGACTTTACTAAGCCAAGCTAGCAACCCCTCCCCAACTCCTTCATTCTCTCTTTAAAAAGCCCAGTCATCTCTGTACAAACCGAAGTTCAGTTCACACCGGACCCTCTTCCCTATTGCAGCACTGTATCACTGATTAAAATCTGGCTTATCACTTTCAAGTGTTCAGCTTTGTTTATCTTTGACAAAACGAAGTAATAAAGTAGGAAAGTTAAACATATCTCAATTAGTTACTTTATATAAGACCATTAGATATAAAGTTCTTTTAAAAAAAAAATGAAGCTTTCACCTTCATAAAGGAGTCGTAATTCAAGGAGTCAACCAATCAGCATTTGGGGGCTGGAAAGGGCCCTTGGCAAACATTAGGCCCAAGCCCTTCATGTTACAAACGATGAATCTAAGGTCCAAAGAGATTAAGTGACTTACCCAAGGTGATTTCAATGAGGGACTGGATTAGAAAAGAGCTATTTCAGCATGATTTTCTTCCTGACTCCAACATGAAAATATTCTTTCTCTTGTATTGTTATTGGTAAAAGCAACATTCACCATTAATCATTCAAGTCAAGATCAGAGGTGAACATTATTATCCTACTACAATACAAGTTTTTACAATTCCACTGTATGCCAATTATACACGAGGAAAGTTTGTTTGGTGCAAGTACAAATAAGATTTCCCTTCACTCAGGGAAGACTTTCAATAGTCCTAAGCAAATAGGTGAAGCACCTTGGTAAGGAGGAACTGCTTTCACACACAAGCAAAGAAAACAAAACCCCATGCATAACCCAAAGGAGGGCCAAATGATTTAGATAGTCTTAAAAACAACCAAAAGAAGAAAAATAAAAATAAATTTTAAAACCCTTTTTCTGCACTTACCAGCAAAGCATTTGGAACAGAGATTCATAGTCTTGCTGGACCTGGGGCAAAAAAAAAAGAAAAAAAAGAAACAAGAGCTAAAAATTCAGTATCACTCTAATCAAAACATAAAGATGTCTGAAATGTAGGCAAAGAATTTCCTGGCCAGGCAACTCAATTAAAATTAATGATAAGCTGCTAACCAGCCACCCCTCCCCCACAACAAAACAAAAACAAAACAACAAAAACAAAATATAACACTTTGTTTGTTATCTGTGAATTAGCCAATGCTTTATTTTTTGTGATTAGCAGCTTATGTAGCAGCAAGTTCACAAATACTGTAACATGCCCAGAAGATGACACAGGAGTCAATTTATCCCACACAATTACCAACATTCCCTCTGTTCACACTGGAACATATACCACAAAGTTATCATACAAACAACAAAAATGTAGTCTGTAAAACTTTCTCCTCATATACACATTCATTTATCTCCATAACATTACTTGAACTTCTATCTCGTCTTCTTTTCCCTCATTCTAGTCCTATTTCAGATCCTGGTCACATTATCACCTTGCTGTTGTTTAAAACTCTTTCTTCAGATGTTCCCAGTCAAATTATTTTTCATGTCCTTTCATTTGTTAATAAGGGTTACAATTCACTGAATACTAACTTGGATGGGCACTTAACATACATTATCTTATTAATCTTCCCAACATCCCTGAGATGGGTATTACCATATTGCTTTGCTTCTAAAACATGCTTTTCAAAAAATTACATTAACATTTCTAAATGAGGAAACATCACACAATTGGCTACAAGTGATGAATAATTTAACGAGGCAATGTTCCCATCACCCCCTCCAAGGTGTTATTAAATTGAGGGGTCTTAGAAATCAAGGACATACAGTCTCATCCCAAGGTCACACAGCTGGGGAACTGCAGAGGAAGTACCTGACCTCAGGTGTGAGCCAACTCGGAAGGCCATCCTTTGTTCACAACAAACTCATTCTTATAGCTTTCTTCCAAAAAACTCCTACAATACTTTATGTTGAGTAAGCTGACCTATTTACAGCCTCATTCCTCAGCAACTCCGGTCCCAGTATCTTAGTCTTTGCGCAGAGCTGCTCCTACATGTTGAATAAGCCAACTTTCTTCTGCCCTCCTTAGTAAATTTTACAATTAATGAAAGCCTCCCTCAGGAAGTATTTCCAGTACGTTGGGAATACTGGGGGGCGGGGATTACTTCTCTTTCCCAAAAGAGAGGCTATGTTAACAGGTGGATCTTTTTTTAGGACTCTACTTAATATAAAGACATCAAAGGAAGTAAGGAAATTTAAGTATCAATGAATGAATAAAAATGAATAAATGGACAAGGAGATGTATTAATAGTGGAATCTAACATTTATTACATGCCTACTATGTGGTAAGCATAATACCAGACGCCTTCAACCCCATTTTACCAAATGAGGAAACAGGCTCCAAGAGGGTATATAACTTGCCAAAGATTACAGAACAAGTAAGTGGATGAACCTAGTCTGCCTAACTCCAAGGCCTGTGTTTTCACCAAGCCAAACTAGGGCCTCTGCTCCCAATACAGAAGCTGAGGGAGTCAGCAGTCTGGTAGTTTGGGAGAATGGCCCCACAACTAAAGACTTAGATTTAATGTATGGTAACCAAGTCAGCTCCCTGAGAAAGTAAAGCCTTTCATCTGGAGAAAGCACAACCCCTGCCCTCCCCCAAATACACATACACACACAGGGAAGCAACCCAAGGCTGCCTGTCATTTCAGTTCCAACTTAAGGAAAAGTTGGGGATGAAGGAATTCCTGTGTTACTAGAACTCCTCCCAGGAAAGCAGGCTTCTTCCAGATGTGGTCACTATCTCTTGTCCATGCAATGCCACAAAGAGCCAGAGGTAACTTGTTTATCGCCTCTGCTGCTCTCCATTGTCCAGCAGGAATCACGGAGCACCAGCAGAGAACAACTGAGGGCAGCTCAACACCTAGTATGCGGTTTTAACACTTGTGTTCCACAAAGTTGGTAAGAAAAAAATGGCAAAATAGCATTTTTCTCTGCATTCCCTTATCTCTCTTCAGATAGTTTACGTATTTAAAATACCCACTATACCTATATACTATCTAAATAACATCCATTCCACTTTCTGAGTAGGAATTTTTCAGCAACATGGTTATCAGGTTATGAAAGACATAATACAAATACTGATATCATTAATCAAAACAGAGATGTCTGAAATGTGAAATAAACCAGATTTGGACTACAGAAATAATGGCCACCGGTAATGCCAACTCGGATCACACAGGTCAACAACACTGAACTCACAAGAACTGGCAGAGGCTTCTGAGAACTTTGTTCCTTTCTCATGTTCAACATGTAAGACTTGAAGCTAACCACAGGCATACTACTACTGACTGCCCATGGAAAAGCAGTGTGATCAACTTGCAGGGTCCTGGGATAGACAACAGAGTTCTCTATGTGGCAGCAAATATGAAAGGTAAATATGATTCTCTTATGTCCCCACTGCTCCAAAGAAATTGCTCTTATTGAGATCTCCAATGGCTACCACAATTCTAAAACCAAAGTTTAACAGGTTAATGATGGCCGCCCAATAGTATCAAATCCTAATCCCTGGAATTTGTAATCCCTGGAATTTACCTTATTTGGAAAAAAGGTCTTTGCAGATGAATTAAGTAAGGATTTTGAGCTTACCCTGTATTATCCAGGTGGGCCCTAAATGATATTACAAGTGTTTTTGTGAGAGGCAAAGGGAGTTTGGACAGACACACAGAGGAGAAGGAGACGTGAAGACGCAGGTAGAGACTGGAGGAACATGGTCACAAACCCAGGAATGTCGAGGCAGCTACCAGAAGCTGGAAGAGGCAAGAGATGGATTCTCCCCTAGAGCCTCCTGGAGGGAAAGCAGCCCTGGCAGATTTTGGACTTCTAGCCTCCAAAACTTTAAGAGAATAAATTTCTGTGGTTTTAAGCCATCAAATTTGTGGTAATTTCTTACAGCAGCCTCAGAAAACTAACACACAGGTAGGTCTCTGATCTCATCTTACTCCCTCTCTCAGCAGCATTCGACCAGATCCATCCTTCTTGAAACTCTCTCTACTCTTGCCTTCTTGTCACTCGGGTCCTAGAGTAAATCTACTCCCTCTCCCTCAGTTTTCCTCCCACCTAACTGCTCCATTTTAGCCACCTTTGCTGGCTCCTCCTCCACCATCAAGACCTTTATCTGGAGGTCCCAAGACTCGGTCCTCATTACCGCTCCTTCTCACTTAGTGATCTCATGCAGTCCCATGGCTTTAAATACATCTATACACTAAAGATTCACAAATGGTCACCACCATTCCAAACCTGCTCACCTTGCTCCAAACTCATATATCTAACTGCCTATTTGACATCTCAACACGTAGCTCAGACTCAACATTTCAAACTAGAACTCTCAGTATTCCCCCCAAACTTGGCTGACCCATTCTGTCCACCTTTATAAATGGCAAAACCTTCTTCCCAGTGGCTCAAGTCAAAATCCTAGAAATCAACTTTTGACTTCTCTCTTTCCTACAGTTTCTCATACACAATACTCAGCAAGATCCACTGGCTCTATTTCCAAAGAGACTTCAAATCGACTTCTCTTCTTTGTCAGTGCTTCTACTCTAGCCACCATTAACTTTCACCTGGGCCACTGTAAATGATCTTTAACTGATCTCCTCATTCCCACTCTTGACCCTTTACAATGAATTTCCACACAGCAGCCAGAATAATCTTTTAAAAACAAGTTAGATCATGCTATTTTCTTGCTTAATGCCATCCCACAATTTTCTACTGCATTTAGTATAAAATTCAAACTTCTTACCAAAGTTTCAAAGTCCCCTTAGGATCTTGCTCTGCCTATCTCCGCTGTTCTGTTCTTACCACTTTGCTCCTCTCACTTACGACTTTCCAACCACACTGGCCTTTTTTCTGTTCCTAGAACATGCTGCAGAGCTCTTGCCCATGCTATTCCCTCTACCGTTAAATCACTGTAAGACTGGCCCTTTCTTGTCACTCAGATCCTGGTTCAAACCTCTTAGTAGGTTTCATCTGACCACCCAATTTAAGTCAGTCCCTCTTCCTGTTTTGTTTTCTTCACAACACCTCATTTTTTATCATCTCACCATTGGCCTGTTTGCTTGTGGACTATCTTTCATCACTAGAAGGTAAGTGTCATAAGAGCAATGGTCACTCTTGCTTACTCTTGTTTGGTACTTAACTGGTACACAATAAATATTTGTTAAATGAAGAAATGAATCCTCTCTTGAAGGCACGAACCATGAAAAATCTAAGTAGATTTAAAAAATGTATTTTGTAAAGGTCATTCAAACACCACCTAGAAGACAGGGCACCCACAATTCCTGTAGCTGTCAGCCTGTCATCTCTCAGGAGCTCTGTCACACTGTATTACCTACAACTGGTAGATAATGCCACCCTGTGTATCTGGCCATGATTTGTCACTCAGGAGATAACAAGTGGCAGATACTTTCAGAAGTTTCTTTCCAATGAGATGGTGTTGGAAAGAAACTAGCTTAATTTTATTTTTCTTCTTTCAATAGATAATGTTTAACGATATTTTCTGGTTTTGAAAATACATGCCCCTTGCAGAGAATTTAGAAAAACAACAGAAGAATTTAAGCAAAAAACAAAAATCACTGATAATCCTACCCCCCCAAAAAAGAACTGTTAACATTCTGAAATGATTCCTTTTTATCTTATGGATAGATATATATAACTAAGAATTTATTATACTTAATCATATTGGTAAAGTTGTGCAGTATGTTCACAGGTGTGCATGTTCTTATGCTTCATAACATACGCACATTACACATTTTCTTTTGTATATAACACATATTTCATAAAGAAGTGTATTATAAAAATACATAAATTTCATTTTTTCATTTTCTATTTACATTTAATATTTCCCATGTCATTAAATACTCTCCAAAAATATTTTTGTTGCTCTGTAATAGCCTATTACATGCTAATATTATAATTTGTTTAGT